ACAGAACTTGTTTATTCAGCGCCGAGTCTCTGGACCTACAGAACTTGTTCATTCAGCGCCGAGTCTCTGGACCTACAGAACTTGTTCATTCAGCGCCGAGTTTCTGGACCTACAGAACTTGTTTATTCAGCGCCGAGTCTCTGTACTTACAGAACTTGTTCATTCAGCGCCGTGTCTCTGGACCTACAGAACTTGTTTATTCAGTGCCGAGTCTCTGGACTTACAGAACTTGTTCATTCAGCGCCGAGTTTCTGGACTTACAGAACTAGTTCATTCAGCGCCGAGTTTCTTGACTTATAGAACTTGTTCATTCAGCGCCGATTCTCTGGACCTACTGAACTTGTTCAGAGCTTCTATAAAGATGAATACGTTTCAGTGTCATTCACTGCTTCAGGTGAGAATCACACATTGACCGTCTGCATGTGTGATGTTGTTTAATCTGTCACCTGTTTGCAGCTTCTTCCCGTGACTTACATGGACTCATTTCATTTCTCGCCACATTTTCCCCAAATAATTTTGTAAGGGTACCTTCAAAAATTCTTTTAAAACGTTTTTATACTATTTAAGATGTATTTATTTATTTACTGTTTGGTACATTTCTGCCACCACCACCACCACCAACACCATCACTACCACTACTGCTATTGGTACTTCTGCTGCTACTACTACTACTACTGCTACTACTACTACTACTACTACTACTACTACTACTACTACTACTACTACTACTACTGCTACTGCTACTGCTGCTACTACTACTACTACTACTACTACTACTACTACTACTACTACTACTACTACTACTACTACTACTACTACTACCACTACTTCTCTACTACTACTACTACTACTACTACTACTACTACTACTACTACTACTACTACTACTACTACTACTACTACTACTACTACCACAATTACTACTACTACTACTACTAACTACTACTACTACTACTACTACTACTACTACTACTACCACTACTTCTCTACTACTACTACTACTACTACTACTACTACTACTACTACTACTACTACTACTACTACTACTACTACTACTACTACTACTACTACTACAACTACTGCTGCTGCTGCTACTGCTGCTAATGTTGCTGATGATGATACTGCTACTACTACTACACCGCCTCTATTACTATTACTACTACACTCTGAACTAGGATTCAGCGCCCCCCCCCCCCCCCACACACACCATTCTTTCTTTACACATTATGCATGCTGGGTTTTTTTCTAGGTCGGCGCGCCAAATTATTAAAAAATGTTACAAAATATTTCTGGGCAGTCCAGTTCATTGTAACACTGTGACTAGTGTCTGACATGATGAATAACCAGAAAGTAGGAGAGGACAATCACCGAGGCTACGTGAGATTATGTAACCAGAACAGACAGAATAAGACAGATGACATCAGAGACCTGACAGCTGAGGGGATTTGAGTCAAGAACTGACATCACAGCACTTGGGGCATTCCCATGCGTGCTCCCTCCTCATATTCAGCAGCCAGCGCAAAGTTCCAATTCTATTTGAACCGGTCACAATCTGGTTAAATGTCTGTCTTGCCTTTCCTCTGTGTGTAGTCAGCCGGCCAGACCCTCTGGTTACACCCAGGAGCCTCATTCTCTCCAGGCCATAATAATCTTCTTTCTCTACTGATTCCGTTGCTTGTTCCAAAGGGCCTTGAACACATTTACCTTGTCATGTATCAATTCACCACCCAGTGGTGCAGATTCAGCCAATCTGTCTGCCTGTTCATTACCCACCACACCGGCATATCCTGGAGAAAGAATCCAAAGAATACTCACTACCCGTGACCTTTCCAGTGAAGCTTGCCACTCTGCTCGAAGCATCCCCTGTCTTCACTTTTTTTCAGCATGCTTTCAGTCTGTTACAATTACTAAATGTGTATGCATCTTGTTCTCTAGCCACCGGAGAGCTGCAGTTACCGCCTCCACCTCCATTCTCATACTAGATGTTGTAGTGTCATATGCTAGCCTGTCTTGCACTAAAGATTTTCCATTGGTTTTCGCCACGAACCCCCAGGTACTTCTCTTTCCTCTCAACACCGAACCATCTGTGTAGATAATCAGATCACTTGGGCAGATGGAAATGGAAAAAAAACAGGCAGATCGCACTGGCGGCCTTTATTTCCCAGACACTTCCTTGTGTTCATGTTAGACTGGTTTGCTTTCGGCTTATGCTTGAGTAAAACAATTCAATGTCGCTTGTAGCAGGGTTCGAACACGTGACAGCCGGGTTGGAGGTAAGGCTGCTACTCTGGCCAGTATTCGTGTCTTGCTGTAGGCAGTGACAACAGTTTGAGAGTAGAGTGGACGTGTGTTGGGAGAAAGTGGGCGTGTGTTAGGAGACAGTGGGCGTGTGTTGGGAGAAAGTGGGCGTGTGTTGGGAGACAGTGGGCGTGTGTTGGGAGACAGTGGGCGTGTGTTGGGAGACAGTGGGCGTGTGTTGGGAGACAGTAGGCGTGTGTTGGGAGACAGTGGGCGTGTGTTGGGAGAAAGTGGGCGTATGTTGGGAGAAAGTGGGTGTGGGGAAAAGTGGAGTGGGGGGGGTGGTTTGGGGGAAGGGGTTGGGGGCGGGGGTTGGGGTGGCGGGGGGTTACGACATTACAAACAAATAAATATTTTCACTTTGAAGCGTCAGGAATTAATACCGTGTGTTTATTAGCGGGGAAAATGAGACACAAATGACTGGGGGCATCGGGGTAATCTTGCTGTACATAACTGTAACTTTGTGTTCAGCCATAAGTGCAGATACCTGTCAAAGATAAAGTACAATGTGAGGGTTATAAACATAATTACCACCAGACAGTCATGTACATTATGTTAATTAACGGACTGTTACTTTTGTTTGCTTTTTAGTCAGTGGACTTCACTGGATAGAACACATACCATACGCACTCACTGACACACGCGCGCGCGCGCGCAAGCACACGTACACTTGAACACATGATACACTTCAGCAAATGATACCGTGGCTACCTCGACTGTGGATAGTCCAGAGCATCAAACCAATCTCTTTAAGTGTTTTAACAGTGCTGGTCTTACGAAAGTTTGCAGCTCTCAGCTCCACACCATACGACCCCAGCTTAACATCCACACCACACAACACCAACCTGACCTCCACACCACACGACACCAGCCTGACCTCCACACCACACGACACCAGCCCTGATATCCACACCACACCAGCCGTGACATCCACACCACACCAGCCGTGACATCCACCCATACGACACCAGCCGTAACATCCACACCACACGACCCCAGCCTGACATCCACTCGACACGACACTAGCCTGAAATCCACATCATACGACCCCAGCCTAACATCCACACCAAACGATCCCAGTCTGACATCCACACCACACGACCCCAGCCTAACATCCACACCAAACGATCCCAGTCTGACATCCACACCACACGACCCCAGCCTAACATCCACACCACACGACCCCAGCCTGACATCCCCACCACACGGTGTTAGCATTGTTAGTATTGTTAGCAATAGAAGATTAACAACTACGCCATGTTAGCGATGGAACATTCACAATTACATATATGCTAACGATACAACTACATGATGTTAGCGACAGAACATGAACAACTAAATGTTATTAGCGAAAAAACATCAATAATTACACAAAAAAGTTAGCTATGAAACATCAACAATTACACAGATACAGTTAGGAGGTAACATCAACAGTAACACAATAACAGTTAGCGATTAAATATCAACAATAACAGTAAGCGATGGAACATCAACAATTACACAGTGACATCAATAGAACATCAACAGTTACACAGGGACATCAACAGAACATTAACAGTTACACAGGGACATCAATAGAACATCAACAGTTACACAGGGACATCAACAGAACATCAACAGTTACACAGGGACATCAACAGAACATCAACAGTTACACAGTGACATCAATAGAACATCAACAGTTACACAGGGACATCAATAGAACATCAACAGTTACACAGTGACATCAATAGAACATGAACAGTTACACAGGGACATCAACAGTTACACAGGGACATCAACAGAACATCAACAGTTACACAGGGACATCAACAGAACATCAACAGTTACACAGTGACATCAATAGAACATCAACAGTTACACAGGGACATCAATAGAACATCAACAGTTACACAGTGACATCAATAGAACATGAACAGTTACACAGGGACATCAACAGTTACACAGGGACATCAACAGAACATCAACAGTTACACAGGGACATCAAAAGAACATGAACAGTTACACAGGGACATCAATAGAACATCGACAGTTACACAGGGACATCAACAGAACATCAACAAATACACAGTGACATTAATAGAACATCAAAAATTACGCAGTAACATCAATAGAACATCAACAGATACACAATAAAAGCAACGGAACATCAACAGTTACACAATAAAAGCAATAGAACATCAACAGTTACACAATAAAAGCAATATAACACCAACAGTTACACAATAAAAGCAATAGAACATCAACAGTTACACAATAAAAGCAACAGAACATCAACAGTTACACAATAAAAGCAATAGAACATCAACAGTTACACAATAAAAGCAATAGAACATCAACAGTTACACAATAAAAGCAATAGAACATCAACAGTTACACATAAAAGCAATAGAACATCAACAGTTACACAATAAAAGCAATAGAACATCAACAGTTACACAATAAAAGCAATAGAACATCAACAGTTTCACAATAAAAGCAATAGAACATCAACAGTTACACAATAAAAGCAATAGAACATCAACAGTTTCACAATAAAAGCAATAGAACATCAACAGTTACACAATAAAAGCAATAGAACATCAACAGTTACACAATAAAAGCAATAGAACATCAACAGTTACATGATAACAGTTAGAAAGACAAGAAGATGGACAGCCATCAACACAGGCACACTAACTCGACAGTCTACAGTGGCCTTACCAATGAATCCCCCATCAAGTGTGGCGCAGAAGTCTCCGCTCTCGCACGGACAGGTGTCGAAGTCAGTGACCATTTCTTCAGGTCGACTCCAGGCGTACGGTTGTAGCGTGTAACAGACTGGTAGGGAGATAGTCCAGTCATGGACAGATCAGAGCATGGACAGATCAGAGCATGGACAGATCAGAGCATGGACAGATCAGAGCATGGACAGATCAGAGCATGGACAGATCAGAGCATGGACAGATCAGAGCATGGACAGATCAGAGGCATGTCATGACAACATCATGAGCAATATCAGTGGCAGAGTCAGAGATAAATAATGCGGGGGTGGGAGTTAGTGCTTCAGTCTCCCTACTGGTCTTACACGGTATCTTGACACTGTAAGATTGATATTGATACTGAGTGGATTCTCTTGATACTGGGTGAATTCTCTTGATACTGGGTGAATTCTCTTGATACTGGGTGAATTCTCGACACTGCGATCTATATTGACACTGAGTGAATACTCTTGATACTGGGTGAATTATCTTCCTACTGGGTAAATTATCTTGATACTGAGTGAATTCTCTTGATACTGAGTGAATTATCTTGATACTGAGTGAATTCTCTTGATACTGGGTGAATTCTCTTGATACTGAGTGAATTCTCTTGATATTGGGTGAATTCTCTTGATACTGGGTGAATTCTCTTGATATTGGATGAACGATATTTATACTGTGTGAATTCTCTTGATGATACTAGGTGAATTATCTTGAGGATACTGGGTAAATTGTTGTGATACTAGGCGATTTATCTTAATACTGGGTGAATTATTTTGATACTTAGTTAATTATCAGGATAGTCAATAAGCGCTGTATTTAAACAACTGTGTTGATAATCTTTATTGAACAGTCAACCGCGTTTTTATCTCACAGAAACACATGAGAATTCATATATGTATGACTCAAGTTGTTGAATATGAGCTGGCACCATAAACATTTGTTTAGTGCCTGTGTGGGTTGAAATTAACATACTGAGCCAGGGGCTGTTATAAACGTGCTAAACGCTAGAGACAACAGCGGATGTCACCCCGCACATACAGGAGCGATCTCTGAATGAGATACCTCTTTGGTTGATTACAATGTACGTTAGATGGCAGGGCGCGCTGTTTACACACTATTGTCTAACATGTATGGAAGGGGTACAGGATATGCTATTCCATAGAAATGACTTGTGCTTTGGATCGCCGCAGGTACTACAGGGTTCGAGAGCTTGGCTACTATTCTACGTGTGTGATCTATTGCTATGCTATGGATTATGTCTGGAACTGATAGGGATTCAAAATGTTTTTATGACAAAGTTTACATGCAAGTGCGCCTGTAAGTCCCAAGTTTACGTCCATGTGCGCCTATAAGTCCCAAGTTTACATCCATGTGCGCCTGTAAGTCACAAGTTTACATCCATGTGCGCCTATAAGTCCCAAGTTTACATCCATGTGCGCCTGTAAGTCACAAGTTTACATCCATGTGCGCCTGTAAGTCACAAGTTTACGTCCATGTGCGCCTGTAAGTCCCAAGTTTACATCCACGTGCGCCTGTAAGTCCCAAGTTTACGTCCATGTGCGCCTGTAAGTCCCACGTTTACGTCCATGTGTGCCTGTAAGTCCCAAGTTTACGTCCATGTGCGCCTGTAAGTCCCAAGTTTACATCCATGTGCGCCTGTAAGTCCCAAGTTTACATCCATGTGCGCCTGTAAGTCCCAAGTTTACATCCATGTGCGCCTGTAAGTCCCAAGTTTACGTCCATGTGCGCCTGTAAGTCCCAAGCAAGTTTACGTCCATGCGCGCCTGTAAGTCCCAAGTTTACATCCATGTGCGCGTGTAAGTCCCAAGTTTACATCCATGTGCGCCTGTAAGTCCCAAGTTTACATCCATGTGCGCCTGTAAGTCCCAAGTTTACATCCATGTGCGCCTGTAAGTCCCAAGTTTACGTCCATGTGCGCCTGTAAGTCCCAAGCAAGTTTACGTCCATGTGCGCCTGTAAGTCCCAAGTATACGTCCATGTGCGCCTGTAAGTCCCAAGTTTACATCCATGTGCGCCTGTAAGTCCCAAGTTTACGTCCATGTGCGCCTGTAAGTCCCAAGTTTACGTCCATGTGCGCCTGTAAGTCCCAAGTTTACATCCATGTGCGCCTGTAAGTCCCAAGTTTACGTCTATGTGCGCCTGTAAGTCCCAGGTTTACATGCATGTGCGCCTGTAAGTCACAAGTTTACGTCCATGTGCGCCTGTAAGTCACAAGTTTACATGCATGCGCGCCTGTAAGTCCCAAGTTTACATCCATGTGCGCCTGTAAGTCCCAAGTTTACGTCCATGTGCGCCTGTAAGTCCCAAGCAAGTTTACGTCCATGCGCGCCTGTAAGTCCCAAGTTTACATCCATGTGCGCGTGTAAGTCCCAAGTTTACATCCATGTGCGCCTGTAAGTCCCAAGTTTACATCCATGTGCGCCTGTAAGTCCCAAGTTTACATCCATGTGCGCCTGTAAGTCCCAAGTTTACGTCCATGTGCGCCTGTAAGTCCCAAGCAAGTTTACGTCCATGTGCGCCTGTAAGTCCCAAGTATACGTCCATGTGCGCCTGTAAGTCCCAAGTTTACATCCATGTGCGCCTGTAAGTCCCAAGTTTACGTCCATGTGCGCCTGTAAGTCCCAAGTTTACGTCCATGTGCGCCTGTAAGTCCCAAGTTTACATCCATGTGCGCCTGTAAGTCCCAAGTTTACGTCTATGTGCGCCTGTAAGTCCCAGGTTTACATGCATGTGCGCCTGTAAGTCACAAGTTTACGTCCATGTGCGCCTGTAAGTCACAAGTTTACATGCATGCGCGCCTGTAAGTCCCAAGTTTACATCCATGTGCGCGTGTAAGTCCCAAGTTTACATCCATGTGCGCCTGTAAGTCCCAAGTTTACGTCCATGTGCGCCTGTAAGTCCCAAGTTTACGTCCATGTGCGCCTGTAAGTCCCAAGTTTACATCCATGTGCGCCTGTAAGTCCCAAGTTTACGTCTATGTGCGCCTGTAAGTCCCAGGTTTACATGCATGTGCGCCTGTAAGTCACAAGTTTACGTCCATGTGCGCCTGTAAGTCACAAGTTTACATGCATGCGCGCCTGTAAGTCCCAAGTTTACATCCATGTGCGCGTGTAGGTCCCAAGTTTACGTCCATGTGCGCCTGTAAGTCCCAATTGTTTACATGCATGTGCGCCTGTAAGTCACAAGTTTACGTCCATGTGCGCCTGTAAGTCCCAAGTTTACGTCCATGTGCGTCTGTAAGTCCCAAGTTTACGTCCATGTGCGCCTGTAAGTCCCAAGTCTACGCCCATGTGCGCCTGTATGTCCAAAGCAACAGAAGAGATCCGTTGACAAGGTAGTTAATTTGCTAGAGGTCAAGGGATTGCCACTGGCAATGTGAACTATAGTAGGTGTTCACACAATGGAAGCGCCACTATAGCAGATGTTCACACCATGGAAGCGCCGCTATAGCAGGTGTTCACACCATGAAAGCGCTACTATAGCAGGTGTTCACACCATGGAAGCGCCACTATAGCAGGTGTTCACACCATGGAAGCGCCACTATAGCAGGTGTTCACACCATGGAAGCGCTACTATAGCAGGTGTTCACACCATGAAAGCGCTACTATAGCAGGTGTTCACACCATGAAAGCGCTACTATAGCAGGTGTTCACACCATGAAAGCGCCACTATAGCAGGTGTTCACACCATGAAAGCGCTACTATAGCAGGTGTTCACACCATGGAGTCGCCAAGAAAAACCAGCTGAATCCACCAGTTCTCTTTATCGCTGCATTTTCTTCCCAGACAATTTCTAGAACACTCTGGAAATAGAAAAGTACCAATTCTGAGTGGCTCCTCTACCCATATTGCTTTCTAAACACCCCCGCCCCCCTCTCCTTCTCTGTTTAAATGTATTTGTCATCGAACACAGAGTAATAATAAAGGAAACCACAGTGGGTAGCCTGCCGTTCCCAGGGTCGTGGGTTCGATTCCGGAATTTGTTTCTTTCTTTCAGAAATGACAATGGCTTCCTGGTCGACTCTGGCTTTAATGGGTACCATGTACTTTTCCGGGAAGTAAAGGCGCCCGGCGTGTTGCTGACCAAATTACCAACCAAGGGCTTTAAAAAAAGGTTAGTTGCGTATCCTGTTGTGGTTTTAAAGGCAAATTTTACGTTTAGTAGTTTGTCATTGCTTTCTGAACGTTCAACTCTAGCTACCACTGTCGAAACCAACGCAAGACAAATCGTCAGTAGTTGGGAATCGAACCCGGCGCCTCGGCATTACGAAGCGCGTTCGCAACGCATAAGCCACAAACGCCGACGGCATTGGGTTTGTAAAATATAGGTCTTGCCTGATATGCCCAATATGCCCGAAGTCGTGGAAAAGGGTCCTTTACTTAACAAACAAAATATTAATGATAACAACAATAACAGCAATATGAATAATAACAACAATAATAATAAAAACGTCCATATGCCCATTTCACCAGAAGGCGGAGATAAGGGTTCTTTACTTGTTACATAATTACAACTGCGTCGTTGGCGTCAAGTCAGACTGGATTTAAGTATAGTGGGAAAACATTTCAGCACAAAGACACATTGTCTGTCAGTGAAGATCAGTCAAGTCGAGCTGAACATCGCAAGTATCCAGATGTTATTTAAGGAAGTGGAAACAGTTGTAAAAAGCGAACGTCTGCTTGTATTTTATTTTGTTTAAAAAAAAAACTGTTTACGAACTTGTGTCGCCGCAGCCAACTATGACCAAGTCGAAAAGAGAAACAAAACATGAAATAGCCAAGACCGTCCCCATCTGAAGGAGGCGGTTTTGAACCAGCCAACCGAAGTGGTGGAGAAGGGTGGGGGCTTTGACGCGGTGCGGAGAGAGCAAACAGGAGTTTGGACCAGGGGCGTCCTATCGCCTAGACAACATTTCCGGAAATGGGACCTGGAAAGTGAAAACTTTGCACGTACGAGGATAAAATGAAACAAACAGGCAGTTGCACACAATCGCACATGGAAGCGAGACGGCACGAATTGACTGACGGCTGATGCTCTATTGGGAAGGGTAAGAAAGAAGAAGAAAAAGAAGAAGAAGAAGAAGAGAAGGAGGGAGAGGAGGAGGAAGAAGAAGAAGAGGAAGAAGAAGAAGAAGAAGAAGAAGAAGAAGAAGAAGAAGAAGAAGAAGAAGAAGAAGAAGAAGAAGAAGAAGAAGAAGAAGAAGAAGAAGAAGAAGAAGAAAAAGAAAAAGAAGAAGAAGAAAAAGAAGAAGGAGAAGAAGCCCACCCAACACATTACAGAGACCAGCCCACCAAACACATTACAGAGACGAGCCCACCAAACACATTACAGAGACCAGCCCACCAAACACATTACAGAAACCAGCCCATCTAACACATTACAGAGACCAGCCCACCTAACACATTACAGAGACCAGCCCACCCAACACATTACAGAGACCAGCCCACCCAACACATTACAGAGGCCAGCCCCCCCCCACCCCCAACACATTACAGAGGCCAGCCCACCCAAAATATTACAGAGACCAACCCATCCAAAACATTACACAGGCTAGCCCCCCCCCCCCCCCCCCCCCCCCCCCCCCCCCCCCCCCCCCCAACCCAACACATTACAGAGGCCAGCCCACCAAACACATTACAGAGGCCAGCCCACCAAACACATTACAGAGGCCAGCCCACCAAACACATTACAGAGGCCAGCCCACCAAACACATTACAGAGGCCAGCCCACTTAACACATTACAGAGGCCAGCCCACCAAACACATTAAAGAGACCAGCCCACCCAAAACATTACAGAGACCAGCCCGCCAAACACAACATCATAGAGATCAGCCCACCAAACGAATTACAGAGGCCAGCCCACCAAACACATTACAGAGGCCAGCTCCCCCCCCCCCCACTCAACACATTACTGAGGCCAGCCCACCCAAACCGTCACAGAGGTCAGCCCACCCAAAACATTACAGGGGCCAGCCCACCAAACACATAACAGAGACCAGCTCCCCCCTCCCTCAACACATTACAGAGGCCAGCCTCCCCCACCCAACACATTACAGAGGGCAGCCCACCAAACACATTACAAAGGCCAGCCTACCCAACACATTACAGAGGCCAGCCTACTAAACACATTACATAGGCCAGCCCACCCAACACATTACAGAGGCCAGCCCACCCAACACATTACAGAGGCTAGCCCACACAACACATTACAGAGGCCAGCCCACACAACACATTATAGCGCTCAGCCTACGTAAGACATTACAGAGGCCAGCCCACCCAACACATTACAGAGGCCAGCCCAATAGTCTTTGTCTGGTTGTGTATCCGAGACTGTACCCAGGCATGACTGATGACTGTATCTAAGGCTGAAGCCAGACATGACTGATGACTGTATCTAAGGCTGAAGCCAGACATGACTGCCTCCAAGACTGTACCCAGACATGACTGATGACTGCATCGGAGACTATACCTAGACATGACTGATGACTGCCAAAGAAGAAGCGCATATGCATTCACATCACGCTCAGCGGACAGAACAGTCAAAGAAGCCAACGGCGCCTTCTCCATGACAACCAGCAGCATGACGATGGAGGTGATGGCAGTGACGCAAGCGTTTGCCTGGCTTGAAACACAAAAATACACCCGCATATATATACTCAGTGATTCAATGAGTATGATCCGGAGGGTTCAGGCAGGTTCAGTGCGAAGACAATGGCTTGAATCATTACAGAAGTCCATTGTGCGTGGAGTCACCTTTATTTTTGTTCCGGGACACGCAGGCGTCGATGGAAATGAAAGAGCTGACAAGTTGGCTGGATCCGCTATCACTACCGACGGTCAGCCTATGGATCATGCTGATATTATCAATGCCCTCAGAGAAATGAGAAGGATAGACGACTTTGGTGGCAGTGAATCCACATCAGTCGCCAGAATGGCAGACTTGGGAATTAAGATCGGCACAGCAAAAAACGAGACGCACGCCAGACACGCCAGAAGACTTGTTAATCAACATAGAACTGGTACTATTAGCCATCGGACGTTGGGGTTCATACTGAGGGGAGGATCTGAGCACCTATGGACATGTCCGGAGTGTAATGAGGATAACCCAACTAACTAACTAACTAACTAACTAACTAACTAACTAACTAACTAACTAACTAACTAATGACTGATGACTGTATCTAAGGCTGAAGCCAGACATGACTGTATCTAAGGCTGAACCCAGACATGACTGCATCCAAGACTGTACCCAGACATGACTGATGACTGCATTGGAGACTATACCTAGACATGACTTATGACTGTATCTAAGGCTGAAGCCAGACATGACTGCACGCATGACTATACCCAGAGATGAGAGATGATTCAAGAAAACACTTACGTTCAGATGTGGTGAGCATTGGCTGACAGACACCGTTGCCCATCTTGGAGTCAAAGAGGCAACATTTGTCGGCTGTACAGTCGCTGCCCTTGCTGCACTTGACCATCTCTGTCGGCATGGAGGGGGTCTTTGACAGGCGCATTGACATCACCGTCTGAAACATGGACACAAATACATACTGTCCGTTCTAGACATGGTGTCCATCTCCTAAAATCTGTTATTCAGTAACCGTTCAGTGTAACTGTTAACATTTAGTATGCGGTTTGTTAACATTTGGTATACGGTTTGTTAACATTTGCATTTGGTATATGGTTTGTTAACATTTGGTATACGGTTTGTTAACATTTGCTGTACGGTGTGTTACCATTTGGTATATTGTTTGTTAACATTTGGTAATCGGTTTGTTAACATTTTGTAGTCAGTTTGTTAACATTTGGTAATCGGTTCGTTAACATTTGGTAGTCAGTATTTTAACATTTGGTATATGGTTTGTTAACATTTGGTATAGGGTTTGTTAATAATCATGTCCTTGTGAGAACTAACAATATGCAAACAAACATAGTTTTCATTTTGCCCTAATTTCCACGCAATAATTCAGCATGCTTACAGTTAATTTAGTAATGCGAATTTGTCCAAACATCAAACATATTGCACGAGTTTCCTAGGCGTTTCACTCTCTAGAGGTCATCTCCAGCATTAGTCTCCCATGGGTTACATGAACACAATTTTTTATTGTACGCGGGATAGGCTATCAAAATGACCCCACTCATCGCTGCACGCTGCAATGACCTTATATGCTAATTTGTTTTTAAAGAGTACACACATTATTAGTGATACACTTTCCTGTAGGTTTTAGTGCCCCATTTTGGGGAAAACAAGAATAGACTCACCGCCTCCCCAACAAGCATGTCGTAAGAGTCGACACATTTTTTAGTTTCCTTTAAAGTCGGAGTGCATCTGTCTGAGAGGCAAGGAACTGACAGTCTGCCTACAAATAGGTCAGATCTGTAAAACGGATGTGCACGCAACACTGCGGTTCTGAAACAATTATAAAGTCCAGAGGTGGACGAACAACCAGATCTTTCTGCCAGAGTTTACAGCCGGTAAAGGCGAAGAAGAAGCAGATTAGTCCAACAAAGACCAAGGACATTCGTCGCTTGAAGAAAACAGCAGCACCTGTGCAACTGTAAATTATGGAATCATAAAGACATGGGAAATCTAAGGCCACATGAAAATACTCGTGTTGATCTCTACAGGAGTGTTCCAGATATTTGTTCAAGTGTGAGGAACGACTTTTTAAACACACTACAAACCCTTAGAGGTAGGGGGCGACTTTTGAAACACACTACAAACCCTTAGAGGCAGGGAACGACTTTTGAAACACACTACAAACCCTAAAAGATAGTCTACAACTGGGTTGACTAATTTCGACACGACACCAAACAATAGAACAGAACATCGAATATGATCATAGCTAATCTGTAGCATTTGTAGACGAGGAGAAAGTTTTGACAGGGTCAATAGACAAAAATTATGGAAAGTACTGGCTCGATGTGGAGTAAAAGGACATCTCACTAAAGTTTTCAAAATATTTTATAGCGATTGTAGAAGCGTAGTTAGAATAATTCAGGGAACATCAAAACCCTTCGAAATAACATCTGGAGTAAGACAGGGATGTGTCTTATCGCCACTCCTGTTGATCACCTACACTGACAGTATAAGCAAGGATGCCAGACCCAGCAACGGAAAAATTTGTAACATCAACGAATTACTTTTTGTCTGATGACCAGGCGTTGATTGCGGATACAGCCATGAATTTGTACCAGCATCTGACATCCATGAACGAAGAATGTAAATCAAGTAATATGTGACTCAACGTCGAAAAGAGAAGTAATCTCAATAGGAAGAAAGAAACAGGATTTAAACATAGCATTAGAGCTTATATATATATATTTTAGACAGATATAGATCTATCTATCTATCTAATCTATCTATCTATCTATCTATCTATCTATCTATCTATCTATCTATCTATCTATCTATCTATCTATCTATCTATCTATCTATCTATCTATCTATCTATCTATCTATCTATCTATCTATCTATCTATCTATCTATCTATCTATCTATCTATCTATCTATCTATCTATCTATCTATCTATCTATCTATCTATCTATCTATCTATCTATCTATCTATCTATCTATCTATCTATCTATCTATCTATCTGGCTCCCTGGCTTTGTCCCTCTCTCCTTCCTTCACCCTCTATCCTCCTCAGCCCCTCTCTCTTCCCTAACCCACTCCTCCCCCTCATCTCCTAACTCCCCCTTCTCCCCTCCTCTACCATCAACACCTCTTTTACCAAGTAATCAAACAATGTCAGCACCATATACTTACGGCTACAATCGACAAAAACAGAAGCTCGGAACCCATGTCAGTGAAACGAAAGTTTGTTAGTTAACTAAAACAGATTTGTCCGTTGACTGCAGAACTCACAACCTGAAGCAGAAATGGTTTGTTGGCTCTGCTATACTGTTTCCCAAATTCCGGGGACA